AGAGCAGGAGGAACAAATTATAAATATCATGGAAATCAATGCAGATATCAGCACTCGGGAATTAGGCCGCCGCGTAGGACTATCGCATACCATAGTCTATAGAATCCTACGGGAAAATTTGCTTTATCCCTACCATGTACAACGAGTTCAGGCCTTGTTACCAGAAGACTAGCCTCGCGGACTAACATTCTGTCAGTGGTTTTTGCACAAAAACATTGAAAATCCGGTTTTTTTCAAAAACATTCTAGCGACGGACGAATGTACTTTTACGCGAGACGGGATATTAAATTTCCTTACTACTCAGACGTGGGCCCAAGAAAATCCTCATTCCATTCGTCAAGGTCATTTCTAACAACGTTTTAAAATAAATAATTGGGCGGGTATTGTTGACGGTCAGGTAATTGGTCCTTTCGAGTTACCCTCAAAGTTATCAGGTGAAGGATACCTTAGCTTTCTAGCCAATAATCTACCAGAACTTTTGGAACAGACCTTAGACAACATGCCATTACAACGGAGACAGAATTTGTGGTTTCTTCAGGACGGGGCACTACCACACATTTTTAGAGGCGTAATTCAGTATATGAATGAACATTATTCAAATCGCTGGATCGGTTGAAATGCCCCTGATCCTCGAAAATGGCCAGCAAGATCTCCTGTCCTCAATCCGATGGATTTTCTGGTATTGGGGAGAACTTAAAGGGATGGTTTATGGGGCTGGTCCCATAACAACTGAAGCACAACTTCGAGAAAAAAAATTTAATGCGGCTGAAATAATAAATGGACCACTTCGAGGACCTAGAGTAAGAAGAAACTGGGTTCGTCGTAATGAAGCTTGTGTGGAAAATGGAGGACGACATTTTGAACACCTTCTTTAAATATAAAAAGGTACAGTGTGGGTTTTAAAAAGGAACACAATGTATGTATAAAAATTGTGTTTCCTATTTATAAGTGGATTTTTTTAATACGTTCAATAAACTTTCACTCACCAGGTGAAGCGCTGAGACAGTTAGTGGTAGGCCTATTTTTTTAATTGTTTGCATTTTACGAGTACATTATCAAATAATCAAATAATACCTAAGAGCCAAAAATAACAAACTCCATCTTTATTTACACTACGTTCCGTCGTAATTTGCGTCTGTATTTGTGGCGTTGTCAGATTTTATTTTACTTTAAAGTCGTTTTTCTCTAAAAAAAATGCCGTTTCGACCCTCATGTTATGTGGAACTTTTTGCTTCTTTAAACTCTCTCTATCACTCATTTAAATAATGACTATCATAACGTTTATACCATGTATCTGAACAACAGACATATTTACAGTAAAATTGACAAGCAACACGTAAGTATAAAAAATAAAATACAAATGACAGAGGACACATGCCCATCAGAGGGATTTAGTAGAATCAATAAATTTATTATTTTATTAATATTTCTGTAGTTTTTTATGTGGCGGATATATACTGGGAGATGATTGTAGAGGCGATATTCAGCATTATCAGGCGACTTCAAAACGTAGGTGTGATCTAACTTCCTTAAGCATGTCTCATTTGTTTCTCGTTTCATAAGTATGGTTGAAGCCATTGATGAGGTACTTTTCTCTATCTCGAGGTAAGTATATGGGATAAGAGTTTGTAAAGATATATTTCTCTTAAAGTGAAGATCTTATTGCTTTAAAGACATCTCGACAGGAGTCAATATAATTATGATTGAGTATGAGCCTCAGTATTCATTTTTGATGTATAAATATTCTTGATGTCTCTGTTGACTGCCCCCATACTTCTTGTTAAGTAGTGTAGTATAAGAGCGTTTGAACATCTTTTCCTAAATCCGTTAAGCAACTAAATAACAAAATCAACATTATTTGCATCTCAATTGGAATTTTGAGCAAATTCACGTTGTTCCCATCTTGAAATATTGACCTGAACGCAGACAATCGCAATATGTAGACACTTTAGACACACTATAACATATTTAAACATCTAAACACTGCATCACTTGAAACTTAACTCCTTATTAACAGAAAAATACACTGCTTAATAAGCTACATATATAATGGTGCTATTGATTGGATACTCAGAAGTAACGTTGACAAAGGTGTGATCGATATCAGAATGTGTTTCACGAAATAACAGTTTGTTTAATAGTGAGTAAACAGTTACATGTAAAAATAATGAGAGTTTAGCACACTTGTTTTCATGGTAAATGTTTGGTTAGGAGAAAATTGCTTATAATAGCATTCGTGCAAATCCTGTGAACATGACAGTTTGCCAGTTATCGAGAAATATCAATAAAATTCTTTTAATTCGCGCATAATACTACCGAATTTGAATCACATTAAGCTTACCATACCGCACAATATCCAGAAATTTGTAAATACGAACTAAACGCAGTGGCAAAGCAGAAGGTAGCTTAAAGAACGAGTCCTAAATTGCCTCATTAAAATAGAGACAAAATGTATTCTGTTAAGTATTAAGGTAGCATGTTCCTTTTTATCAACTGCCTGTTTGAATCAGTATCCGAAATCCCTTTCATTTGATTATTTCATGGTGTGCATAGAGATGACTAAAAAAATTTTAACTTTTTTGTAAAAAAAACGTTTTTTGTGCATTTTATGATGCATTTTTCATCAATCGTATCTTCTTAACTAATATTAGTACTGCTCTGAAATTGTATGTCAAAATTTCACTTTTATAGTAGAATATAGCAAATTGAATTTTCAGGAAAAGCAAAGATTTTTTGAAGAGAGTCAGTTATTAGAAAAAAGTAATCATCCATTCTTCCATAAAGGTGGAATATTCACATTCATTTTCAGAGCTGTACTATTATTTGCTGACAAATTATAATTGAAGGAAGAATGCATAAGAAATGCTCAAAAAATGCATTTTGTGACAAAAGAGAAACTGATAACATTGTTTTGCAGTCACCTCTATACACAACATGAAAGAAACAGACGAAAAGTGTTAAGGATACTCCTCCAGATAGGCTGTTGAAAAAACAGGCATGCGACATTAAGGTATCGACTTAAAATTTTATACATGTAGTACTCACTGTCGTAACTGATACATAAAAAATGGATTTAAGCAGATTGACTCCATACTTCCTACATCTTCGTTGGGGGTTTCAAAGAAAAGGGATGAGTCGAATCCCTTCAAAAAGCGAAATCGAGTCGTGATTTTGCTAAAATATATAAATATGCATTTCTCCTGTAGCGGTGTGTCAGTGATGACACCACCGCAGACCAGCTGGAGTTTATAACCCATTGCAGTCAACAGTGACCTTCACGATGAAGGCAGCCGTGCACGCAACGCCAACGATTGCAAGTTATTTCGAACTATGAGCAAATTATACTCGGACTTTTATCATTTTTTAATGTTCCCGTTGTTACCGGGATCAGAAGTTCTTTAATGATAGAGCGTCTTTGACGTTACATATAGAACCCCCTACCCTCTACAACTGAGAGCCACCAAATTTCAACCCTTACCAAAAAATTTCCGAAAATGATCAGGAGCCTTTTAAACTTCATCCTTGGCATAGTAATAACTTTGTGTAAAATTTTCATCAAAATCCTAGCGGTACTTCTCAAGTTATAGGTGGTTATAAAATTAGGGGACAGACCGACAGACAGGTCAACCGACGGAAATGATTGATTCACATGGTTTTTCGAGATGTACATCCAAAAACAGTTTCCAAAAAAATTTTTCGCGATTACAATACTTTCTCGCCAGTTTGTGCATATGAAGTAAAATGTTCAGTGCTCAAACTGTACCAGCGGCGTAGTAATTGGGATACCTTGACCCCTACAGAAATATACAGAAGATAATACTGGCGTGACTAGCTTTTAAACATTTTTTGCATCTTTGATATAATTATATATATATATATATATATATATATATATATATATATATATATATATATATATTATAACAAATTGTGTCCTGAAAATTTCTGTCTGGGTACACCTTTTAGAGAAAAACTAACTAAATGTTCGAGGTAAAATCCGTATAAAGACCTTAAATCCCTTCTACTTTGAAAATATGCTGATTTTAGTGAGTGGCATAGAAACTTGCATCATCTATTTGATAACAGGGTATTTTAATATTAGGACCTATGTTTAAAGGAACCTTTTATGTTATTTTTGGATGTTCTCTTATGTACGTTCGGCCCTAGAAATAGGTATTATTGCTTCTTGAAGCTCCATATATAATACAAACATAATTATTACTTTTTAAGCGGGGAATTTTGTAATTATCTGCAAAGACAGTTTGTTGGCTTCAAAGTTAGTGAAACTTCCGAAAGAAAAGTAATAGTGATATTTTTGCTTTGTAAGCCACTCAGTTGCGGTACTAGCAGCTTTATTTGAGAATAAGGGAGCTTAGAATCAGAATATTTTTCATATCAAAGTTTTACTGACCGATACATTAAAACACAGGTATTGAAAGAACAGATTACTAACATTTAGGGCGACCTCAGTCACCATTACAGAGAGCTAAAAATGAGAATCTTTGAAATAAGCTACCGAGGTAGTGAGTTACTTTTCTTGAACATCTGTGATTTTATTTAGGGGCCAACGCCAGAACAGGATGGAGTCGAACAGCGAGGCAACCACAGGATAAGTTACAGTTTCGATATCTTCTCTGGACAAAATCAAACCATGCCTCATCATGATTCACTAAAGATGAATTTTTAAACGCTAAATATTAACATTATAGAAACCAACTTAATATATATCTATATATATATATACGAGTATATATATATAAATGCTTCCTAAAAGCGCATTGCTTTTTTCTCCTTCCTTCCCCTCACTTTACCAGGTGTTGAAACGACTGACACAACTTTGACCAGGAGCGAAGGTTCTGTTGGCCCTTTGACAAATACAAGAATCGAAAAGTTCCTTTCTGATATTGGTATACATTTTCACTTTAAACTACTGGAATATTATAAAAAAACTTCTCCTAATTCTCCAGGGTAATCGATATTCTCATCTTCTATGATTTCAGAGGGAATGTATCTCTGTCCACATCGGCCAAGCTGGCGTCCAAATCGGCAATGCCTGCTGGGAGCTGTACTGCCTGGAGCACGGTATCCAACCTGATGGACAAATGCCTTCAGACAAGACAATCGGAGGAGGAGATGATAGCTTTAACACTTTTTTCAGTGAAACAGGAGCTGGAAAGCACGTTCCTAGAGCGGTTTTTGTCGACCTGGAACCTACCGTTGTTGGTACGTATTAAGCTATTAACATGTTATTTAGGCGAAGAAAATATTTACTCGTATCTTGGTGACCAAAAAAGAAGCATCAAAATCATGGCACGTTAAACATCTTCGAAAAACAGGGCAGAGATTGTAGAAAATTGTTTTGCTGTTAAAAACCAACTAATGCATAGATACATTGACGAAAAATGATAGCAGAAGAAAAAACAGATGCGTAATGTTCAAAATAGATCCAAGAATAAAAGGTATTTCCAAAATAATATTTTTTTCATTTTGAGATTGTAGATGATACAGAATTTTTTCGGATAGGTCATTTCAAACGCAGCAATTTGATATAAAATATTGTAAGGTGTTATTTGTAAATTGTTGAGATATTGGACAATCTGTGGAAAAGAATACTCACTTTTGACAACTTGTACCTCAGCAACTTTTCTAGCTACAGAACTTAGTTTTTCACCAGAAAAACTTCATGATACCATATCTAATTACTTTTTCACTTTTTTTGATAGTTTAACAGAATGGTGAAGAACGCAAAAGTAACGATTTCTCAAAATTTTGATCTAGAGGGATGCTTTTATTACTTTCCGACTTTAATGCGCATGAGGTTTGGTAGATTTGATCCATAATAAAAATACGCAAATTCTAATGATCTGCCGTTGCCAACTAAACAGTATTGTTTATTTTACAAGGTAGTGTGGTATTTTCCATTTAACTTGATGCCTGACTGCAAAAAGATTAACTGCAACTCAAAAAGCAGTCGTACAACCCCTTTAGATCTGATACCAAAAAAAAGCTTGTGAAAACATTTGCGAAGATGCGAGTTGTCAAAGTTGACTGTTTTTTCAATAGATTGTCTAATATCTCAATAATTTGAAATAAATATATATATATATATATATATATATATATATATATAGTATGTAAATTGTTTCGGTTCGAAGGACATATTCAAATGTACTATAAAATGTAGGTCTTTCTATTTGAAAAAATGTATGTTTAGGTCACCACATGGTTATGAATTACCCTGTAGAAATAAAAATATCTTTCAAGAAGCATATCGTTGGCTTTAATTTTTGTGATCAAATTTTTTAGATACGATGCATAACAAAGGAGTTATCAACCGAGCTCACACTAAAAACTCGCCCTGTATGTTCCGTACATAAAGATAATTGGGCATTGAGACCCAGTATTGACGTGAATGTTCACTGCAGGCGGACAACGTTGTTGTTGTTCTCATTTTAACAGCTTTGCCCGCTCACTGATGTTAATGGCCAAGAATATACTCGAAGAGATTAAAAATATTAACGACATCTGTAGTAACGAAAAAAAAACCAGGACAAAACAAATCTTGAAACCTGGAACCTGGATGTGACATCAAAATTCTTCATAAGAATCCCATACCTGTTTGAATAATGAACTAGTGAACTATCAGTGCCTCTGTGACTAATACAAGAAAAGTAACCATACAATCTGTGTAACACAACCTTACATTGCACGATTCCGTAATTGAGTGCTGTATGACCGGTAGTCATGTTACCTCCAAGAATGTTAACAACAACATTCATGTCATTGTCCGGCCATTAACGTCAATACCTGGATTATCGTCATTGCCCGTAATATATACATAGTTCAAGATTGACCTCTCTGGTGCGACACCATTGTCACAAAGTTCTGCAATAACAATACGGTTTATGGAAAATATGTGCAAAAAGGCAAAAAAGGGTCACTTCGACGTTTCCATTTTAGTGATCAATGATTTAATTCAATAACGGGAGCGAAATTATTAACAAATGTCGCAATGCCACAAAAAAATAAAACTGTTGTGTGTCTGTGATACCTTCAATAATGAAAGAGAGCTGAAGTGACATGGTCGCTGTACGCCTGTTTTTGCGGAAAAAAACTGTTAGCTTCATTTCCTTAAAATCGGAAGCAATAACAAAGATGCCATCTTCTGTAAGGATTATTGTTCTAAATTATAATTCCAAATAAACTGACTATAGTTTTCACGAATTTTTTAGATCAGATCACAGTTTCAGAAAATCCGAATGGGCAAAACATGTATGTCTATGTGCATCACCATATTACTCGTCCCTCTGATGATTTCCAAATCCGATTAAAGCATAACCAATTTAAGTCAATATTAAATTTTGTTTTCCCCCATTATTATATAAACAGCAAGAAATGAGTCTGATAAAGGGCGGTTATTAATAAATAATTTATTCCCGAAATGTCAACATAGAAGGGAAGCAATTTTTCGATAAATTCATCTGGTTAGACTACATATTTCATGTATACAAGGTGTAGTAGCATTGTCAACAACATAGGCTTTAAAACCAATACAATAGATATACAAACTTTGAAGCACTTCTTTTCATACGCTTGTTCAAACAGCCTACCTCAGATCATACGATCATATTTTCCTCAATAAAGGTGGGAAACTATCCACACATGATTCTATGTACCCGTAGGAGATAACGAAAGGTTAAAAACCTCTGTACCCTAAAAATTCATTTTACCAGGCGATAATAGGTGGATAGCGTGAAGTCGCTTGATGTCTTCAGGAAACTCTCAATCATAGGGCATTTTTGGGGTGGTGTATACATAAATTATGATGGAATTCCTCCTCATAATATATTCACGCATATATCAGTAGTCCAACACCTTTCTGGATGAATGATTTTCCCCACGTTGTACGATACACCTTAATTTAGGAATTCATCAATACGCATTACATTTTGACTGGATATAACGACAGGTTATTCCTAATTCGAGCTTTCACTATTTTTGTCCCATGGTAAAGCAGGAAAAGTAGGTAACATAAAATATTTGATTAGAAATTACGATCAACTTGATTTTTTTTAACCTCCCCCTAAAGTTCAGATTCTAAAAAACTCTACTGGCAATACGAATTAAAGAGTTTCTTGTTAAAAATATATACAGTGTTGTTCACCCCTCTCCCCTGGTTATCTTTTGAATGGGTCAAGTTAGCAAGCTAGCATTCGGAGTAATGAAACTGAAACTATATTTTAGCCTCAAATTAGCAGTTGAAAATTTTAAGATAGCCAATGGGCTCCACTTTGGAACATCTTTTAAACGAAATGAGGATGATCTGATACCGTATTTTGATGATCATTATAAGTAAGTTGTAATCGTAGGAGACACAATGACTATCAAAATGGCGAACTGACATGCTATCAAATTTGATCTTTTTTCTGCATTGCGTCCCTTATAATTCAACAACTAATCATCAGAACACTATAATTTGTTACATCAGTTCTCTCCTTCGAATATGTAATTAAATATGGAACATTTAATTGAAAAAATACTCCAAAACTTGTCAGTTTCTCTGAACTGAACGCGTCATGTTTCATTGCACATTCAAATAGATTCTTCCAAAAGAAGAATATTGATATAACTTACTATAACTTTTTAATAATTCATTAGTTGTTAAGTTATGAACTATTCAATGTACGCTTAACTTTGACAGCCTGTCAGTCTGACAATCCTAAAGATAGTGCTTTTTTATTCTAAGGTTATATAATACTCATACTGAACTTCAAAATGAGGTATCACATGGCAATTTTAAAAAAAATGTTGCAAGGTGGAGCCCATCCGCCATTTTGAAATTTACAACTGTTATTTTTACAATTTCATCATCAGGAATTTCAGTTTGCAAGATTGATCCATTCCAAAAATAAGTAAGGTGGGTAGATCTTTCTTAAAAGCACTGAATAACGAATCTTTCAATCTGCGTTAGATTTTGACAGACTATATGGTTATTTTTATTCCGTTGATTTATCCCTGTAGTTTTTACAACCTCTATAGTGAGACAAAAGTGTTATGTCTACGAGAATTACGGAATATCAAAAAATTGTTGGTCAATAATTAAAATGAACTTGATACATTGAAGCGTTTCCCTAAAATCACAATTTAAAATAAATACACTGGCAATATAGGCTGAAAAAATATTTGTAGTAGAAAAAATATCATACGAGTATTGTATCTTAGTATCCTTTGAAAACTCTAATACTCATAGAACTCCATTGCCTGGCCGAGCCAATCCACGCATTTATTTTGATTGTACGACATTTCGGCCACCACAGTGACCCTTTTCAGATACAATGAAGCATGAAAACCTCAGAATAAGTTTCAGGAGTTACGTTAACGTAATACTATTTTTTATGATCGCAGACGAGGTACGCACAGGCACCTACAGGCAACTGTTCCATCCTGAGCAGTTGATAACTGGTAAAGAGGACGCAGCTAACAACTATGCACGTGGGCACTATACAATAGGAAAAGAGATAGTGGACGTAGTTCTTGATAGAATCAGAAAACTGGCTGACCAATGCACTGGCTTACAGGTAAGACACAAACTTATGATACAATTGAAATATTGATTATCCCACAGAAAACAGGCGAAACACACCACTTCTTGCTAAAGCAACACCTGGGTAAGCCTGCTTCATCATATCAAACGTCTCTGTCGCAGGTTTACCGAGTTTCACACAGAATTTAATCGCGTACCTCTGCATTTTCGGCTTGCACCACTCACAGAAACACGTCGCGCGAAAATGCCTGTCCTGACTCTCCAAGAGCTCGGAGACAACTGACCAACCGCTCATTCGTTAGCTAGGAACGCCCTCTACCGAATCCAGTCGGTGCGCGTACGCTCCGAAGTACAGTCATGGCGGAAGAAAATGAGTCCTATTACTTTCCGGACAAACCCTGTAAGGTACCTACTATGATGATGACTGACAAATTTTCTTTTACAGGGATTTTTAGTCTTCCATTCATTCGGAGGAGGTACTGGATCAGGCTTCACCAGCTTATTGATGGAAAGATTGAGCGTGGATTATGGAAAAAAATCTAAATTGGAATTTTCGATATATCCCGCGCCACAGGTAAGCATTGGCAAATCATTGTTTGAAGTCACATTTGTTCTTCGTTGGTTCCAAATAATTTTTTACATAATTCAATTATAATAAGGTATGTTCTTTTTATTTAAATTTCTAATATAAGTACTTTACTAGTCGACCTCCCGATAGTGCAAAACTTGAAAAATATCCCTCAACTATTTATTTTCTCAGGTATCTACAGCTGTGGTTGAACCATATAACTCCATCCTTACAACACATACCACCTTGGAACATTCAGACTGTGCTTTTATGGTAGACAATGAAGCCATCTATGATATCTGTCGTAGGAATTTGGACATCGAAAGGCCTACGTACACAAATTTGAACCGACTTATTGGACAGGTGATCATAATTTTTGATAACACTAATGATTTGTCGGCATTTGATAACATCAACAAATACATATGATTAACTAGCAGTTAGTATCCGACGGAACTCTCGGTTTAGTTACGGTTTAGGCAGAAAATCCGCCGAAACTGCAAATCATTGAGGAATTCAAGTTCATGCTCAATTTCGTGCAGAATATTCAAAACAGTTTGTACAAACTAAATTTCTTAAAAGGTGCCATAGTTACTAATCTCTTGGAAATAGTTTTTATTTTTGGTCTTCTATAAAACTACTATTTATTAGTTCAGGGATACACAAATCATCGTTTAAAATATCATGACCGATAAAATTAAAGACTAGGCATGAATTGGATGATATTGAAACTCTAAAAACTGGTAGTTTGAGGTCAAGCAGTTTACAAAATTTTAAACGGGGTTTTAGTACTTGTGCAATAAACATCTTCAAATTAAAGCAGGTTTCCGTCAAAGGTAACGTTGAATAATTTTGGTGCAACTGGCAATACATTGTTAATTTTGTTTTATTTTTCATTTTTTTACAAAATCTTATTAAGGAAAAGACATTTTTTTGTGATTTAAGAGACAAATGTAGTAGTGCTTTAGTTTTCCTTAACTCAAGTCTTAATACTAATTGATAAAGACGGAATTTATTTTGGAGATACACTACTATCTTACCTCCCGTTGGGAGGTACCAACCTTCCATATCCCATATCATACTCCTCAGTTATATGTTACGGTTCAGGAAAAAACTAACATTGGTCAGAAATGACGGTTTCGGCTGTTCATAAAAATGGTGAAAGCGAGTACAAACGCACTTCGTTATTGAAGAAATCTGTTGTAATCAATGTCGCCATCTCGCAGAACGATGGTGTATCGTAACTTATTGTTTCAATGAGCAAAAATCACCCAAATGGAAAAGCCTTTGAGTCTACGGAACAAGAGGTACAACGTTTTTTCAACGAAACACGACCGGAAAGTTGTGTTTTTGTACAATCTAGAGGACCTAAGATGGCAGTTTACCTCCAGGGGGCAGCCGTCTACCTGGCAAAGTTTTAACTCACTATATCTTAAAATCGGAATAAGAAAGCGCAACGCGCCATCTATTGCGTCTGTCCTATTTCGACAAACCATACCTCCTGGATAGAGGATAGTTGCTATGCTATCGTTTGTAGTCCAAAGACGTTTGACCAAGCCTAGACCATGCTGATCAGTAGCCAAAAACCACGAAACAGATGTGAATGGTTGGCTGTTTTTGGTCGAAAGCAGTTTGAGTAAAGTAATTAAACTTGATTAATCAAAGCTGCCTTAATCAAGCATGACATAATTTAGTAAAATATGTTTTTACAGATCGTATCGTCAATCACAGCCTCTCTTCGTTTCGACGGAGCTCTAAACGTGGACCTGACTGAATTCCAAACAAACCTGGTGCCTTATCCTCGCATCCATTTTCCTTTGGCCACTTACGCGCCCGTCATCTCTGCTGAGAAAGCTTACCACGAACAACTGACTGTTGCTGAAATCACGAACGCCTGCTTTGAACCTGCCAATCAGATGGTCAAATGCGATCCTAGGCATGGAAAGTACATGGCTTGCTGTATGCTATACAGGTAAATATGGTGTAGAACTAAATTAAATCATTATTTCGTCAAACAGTCCCCAAAGGAGTTTGTCAATTTTTACTAACATCATCATGATTTTTGGAAAGTATTTTATCTCATCTTTATTACTAGTAGTAGTAGAAATATTTATTTAGCACATTTGGCTACATAAACAGAATAATTTTAAACAACTTATAATTAGTAAATTCAAGCCATATGATGTATGATGTAAATGCTGGGCAACCTATAATTGTAGATTTAACAAGTGATTCCTCAATTTTACTTTAAATTTTGTCAAAGTTTTCTGGTCTTTTATCTCTGTGTAAAATTTATTATATTCAATCAACCATTGATGGAATACAGATTTGTAGCATATACTATACTTTTTGGTCATTAAATGGAAGTCATCTTTACTTCTGGTATTATGTAAATGATGGTCGACATTTGATGATGTTAAATTAGTTAGGCTTGATGGAAATATATTATTTTTTAATTTATAAATGAATATCATTACAAGATATTTGATAAAATTTTTTACATTGAGCCATTTTAATTTGCTACGCATTTGTCTAATTGGAGTATATTTATCTTTATTCAGTATTATTCTGATGCACATATTTTGTAAAATGTGCATTCTTTCAAAAATGGAATTATTTGCTAAATATAGAATAGTCGAACAGTACAAGAAATTTGGAAGAATGATGGTTATTATATATAATTTTTCTGCTATATGTACTCAGACATCCAGAAACTCTTGATAAATATCCCACTTTACTACTAATCTTATTTATAACTTTTTCATAATGATTATCAAAAATTAATCAAGAGTCAACAAAAACCCCCAGGTATTTAAAATTTTCTATGAATTCAATATCTTCACGATCAATATTCAGTTGTACGTTGTTTTTTTTTTTCGATTAACATAGCTTTCGTTTTGCTTGTATTTAATTTTAGTCTGTTAGATGCTAACCATTTTGAGACAAGTTTCAAGTCTTCATTTATATAAGAGATACCAGTCTGAATATTTTTAGTACTTATATAAATCATAGTGTCATCGGCGAAAATCTGAATTTTGCATTTTTTGACTATGGCAGGTAAATCATTTATGTATAAAATAAAAAGAAGTGGTCCCAGGATACTGAACTGTGAAACACCGAACGTATTTTCAATTTTTGATGAAATAGTGTCATTAACTTTTGTAACCTGCATCCTTTTAGACAAATAATTTCTAAACCAATCTAAAACACTTTCTGATATACCATGTGCCTTCAATTTACCTAACAAAATATCTCCATCAATCTTTTCAAATGCCCTCTTCAAATCTAAAAATACTGCTATGACAACTTCTTCTGAGTCTATGGCCCTTCTCCAATTCTGAGTTACCAACTGGAAAGCCGTTTCTGTGGAATATTTTTTTCGAAAGCCTGCTTGCGCCTCCACTAAAATTTTGTTTTCTTCTATAAACTGCATTAATTGGTCATGCACTATGGACTCTAATAATTTTTCAATGTCTGGTAACACATTTACTGGTCCCATATCGCTGCATCTTTTAGAATTTTTTATTTTGGGAACTGGTGTTATTGTAGAGCATTACAAATTTTCAGGAAAAGAACTGCTTCTCAGTGAACAATTGATCCAATTTAATACAGGATATCCCAAAATTTCGAAACAGTTTTTTTAGTTTCAAACAGGTATTGTTATATCTGGGAGCAGACAAATGAGTTCCATAGATTTATGTATATCTAAATATTTAGTGGTAGTGTTATTTTATCCTCGTATGAGTGCTTCAAAATGTAAGGTTTGTACTAATTAAATTTCCATCTATTTACCTCTGCTTATAATCCTCGACATAGATGTCAGTAGTGAGTCATTCATTCATAGTCTGTTCCATCTTTAACTCCGAATATTTTCATCCGTCTTAGGCCACGGTTCCTATGGATGCGAATTCTGAAGAAATTTTATTCTGACGAGTACATCCGAGATCCTTGTAAGAACGAGGCGGTTACACTGTGGGTGTTTTCTAATATTTTGATAGCTTCTGCTACAGCAAATATGGACGAAGCTGATGAATTTTATTCTCTTGGAAGTCCTTTACTGAAGTTACTGTTGTTAAATGGTGGAAAAAAAGAAAATGTCGATCCTTTATTTTCTAGTATGGACGACAAAGGGGAGTTTGAAATGTTATTTGAAGAATCGCTAGACCAACCGATAACGTTTTTGTTTTGTTGTTTGAGGATGTGAAATGAATGTAAATATGTGTCATATAATTGTACCCACATCAGAATGAAAAAAATACTTACTGGTGGTGTTGAGTTCTGTAGCAATCTTCTGCCGTTTTTGCCGAGAAGTTATCAATTTATTGTTATCCATGGTGCAGATACTTATGCAAAAATTAAATTTGTTTCAACGCTCGAGTAGTTCTGACGAATGCGTGCATATTCTGGCGTGCTGGTCAACAGGCGTTTGTTAATTCGGACGAATTGGTCATGACTCGACAGAACAAAATTTTGTTAGAATTCGTATCCATAGTAACTACAGTCCTAGGCTGGAGTTCAGATACACTCCATTTTCCATCATCAGGAGGATATGAAAATATGCCTTAATTATGTTCCATCTCTTCTGCCATCATGATACACTCTATCCAGAAGTAGATTACTATCTGTTTGTACATCGACTTCAAATTGATTGTAGGAACTTCAAAATGCGATAAATATAACATCGGATATGCTTCAAATAATCTGAGCACTTCATCAGATACCTCAAATGCTTCGAGTGCTTTGAAAGAGTCTTCTAATGTTGCCTTCCCATTTTTATATAATTTGAATTTCACATCTGGGAAGCTCATATGTATATTGTTCACAGATTAAGTAATGTTTCTCTGCTATTTCAGAGGTGACGTGGTTCCGAAAGATGTAAACGCAGCCATAGCGACAATAAAAACCAAAAGGACCATACAGTTTGTGGATTGGTGTCCAACTGGATTCAAAGTAGGGATCAACTACCAACCACCTACCGTTGTGCCAGGAGGTGATCTGGCTAAAGTACAAAGAGCTGTTTGCATGCTGTCCAACACCACAGCTATTGCCGAGGCTTGGGCTAGGTTGGACCACAAGTTTGATTTGATGTATGCGAAGAGGGCTTTCGTGCACTGGTAGGTATTATTTTTCTTTTGGTTAAAATATGTTCAGCACCCTGTTTCACTTCACTAGGCGTGGAAGTACTGCAATTTAAAAAAAAATGAGATGTTTTTTAGATGCTAGATCACGAAAAATTTGTCGGTCTGTCCGCGAATCTTTGGACCGCCAATAACTTTGAAAGTACTGCTCGGATTTAGATGAAATGATCACTCATTGATACTACTACGTCAAGAACAAAAAAGCTTTGTAGATATTGAAAATCGGTTAAGTAGCAATGTATTTAGGGACAAAAACACAAAAAATCGTCTTGCAAACCGATTTACGAGTTTTTCTGTATCGACATGTACATCTTTATGGACATATAAAAGTGCCAGTCCAGTTAGATGGTATTCTGCCAAAGAGGCTCGTAACCACGTCTTGAGCCTACTAAGCTTAGAAAAGGACTTATCTGTTATCGCTACGCTAACTGGTAATGTAGCAATAGCAATGATATATAAGAACTTTTTTATGTTGGGATTCATTTCGGCATCGCAACTTTCAATAAGAGTAAGAATCGACCGCGGAATATTCTGCACTCGCTATCATTTTGCCATCCATCGCCGATATTCATTCATAATTCTCGAAACATACATTCCAATTTCTAAAAATTTTTAAATCACTATTATAAGGTGTACAAAAATTAGCAATATAAGTATTGCGTTTATGGCTAATCCATCTCTGGTGAATTTAATGAGTTAATAGTTTTCGTTGGATTATAGCGTCGCCTAAGCTCTAACATGCCGTAACTCAAAACTGGCAAATTTTCAAAAGAGCAAAAAACGGCAGATCTTTGGAGTCCCTATCGAATGACATGCATATATATCTTGATGGCGCCATTTTTTGAGTTCTGCCATGCTAAAACCGCGTCTCCATCAGGGGCCTGTTTTTCTCCGGAATCAGGAGGTGTTTTACAAATCGAGAGAATCAAATACAATAGTTTCAGAATAGTCCCTAAAGTCACCCATTGAATCCTTGCCCGATGTTTGGGATATAACTAAGAGAGATAATACCATCATGCCACGTTATAAGGGCCGCATCGTCAGTCGTCCCTACAATTATTGTATGATGCCTTTATGGCCTTCTTGATTTTCATAGTTTTCTACTCTTCTGTGTCAGAGCTCTATTTTGAGGTAATGTTACAAATATCTATTTGCATCAAATTGTTCATGCTTTTTATTGACATCTTATATTATAAATTTTCTACAATTCAAGAAGAAAATATAGCCTGACAATAGGATTCCTGTCCGAATGTTTCAATTTTCAGTTAACAACCTTAATCACAGATCACATGAGGCTCAATTCCAAATAAAGCACTAACGGACATGCATTGCTATCAAGCCCAAGGACGCAAAATCACCACTTCTTTTATATTTACGTCACGCTGAACGTATAGGCAAACAGACTTACACAACTCTCTTATTTCCACGCCATCATCGATGCGCTTACAAACTGATAAGTGTTGTCAGTTTGTGCAATGTTCCATCAAATCTGGTGATTTTTTACCCGTTTTAATTCATAGCATATTTGTAAAAAGTCATTTGAATTTATTAAAGAGAGTCTAAAGTCATAAGTATTAGTGGTCAAACTAGAATCGCCCAGGGGGGGGCTCATAACCCCCTTTCCCTGGATCCGCGCTTGAATATGGAATACACAAGTACAAGCGTAACATAGATAACACACTAATAAAGAATATGATACAAGCATCCTAGTATAATTCTTTTATCTGCTAATTGAACGAACCTTTTAGGTACGTCGGAGAAGGAATGGAAGAAGGAGAATTCTCTGAGGCTCGAGAGGATTTGGCTGCACTGGAAAAAGACTACGAAGAGGTGGCCGTTGATTCCATCGAAGCGGAAGCTGACGAAGGAGACGAGTACTAATGTCTATATTATTATTGCCTGAGGAAACATATCTAGGAAGAACCATGGTTTGATTGAACTTGTGGACATCAGAAATTACTTATCACATTTTCCTACAATTGTAGTTACGATAGAAGTATCCAGGAACTGTACACATAGTTACTGTTCAAAGAGAGCGGTAAACAGTAGTTAATAAGTAGAGATGAATAAAAAACTAAAGAATCTTGTAGCATTTCGAGTTGCCGGAGGATTTTATTTTGAGCAAGATATAACAAAATAGGAAAGTGTGAAAAAATAGCATGTTTCCTTCCCAGATTCATGATCAATCGCGTTTAAAAACCACTCATTTTTTTCTATGAAGGTGTATCGATTAGTAATATTTTACAAGTAGTATGCACTACAAAATTTTGTCAATGCTTATATATTTAAATAATAAATGTAGTACTAATAGTGATATAATATAATAAATACAAATAGTATTACATCTTTATATGCACGGATATTTTATAAACTTTTTAGCAATTAATATGGTTTTATTTACATTCCCTCCACTACCGAAACATAATAATACGAAATAACAGGGCAATTTTATAATCTAATATTAAAAAAAGTAATTGAGACAAATGACTTATGTCTATGTGCAGTTTCTGCAGTGAATGACCCCAGCCTAAAATTAAAAAAATATCACATGATTTGCTTTTGGAACATATGAAATATTAAAATCAATAAAAATGTATTCCTGACAAAATGTCAACACCTGAGCTGATGAATTTAAAAGCAACGCCCCATACTAATCAATTTAAAGTGAAATAACTAGTGACCATCATACACCGATGATCACGCGTATGTCTTGCATCTGCGTTGTCTATCAGCTGAGCTACTTTGAACGTGAGCGGTAATATTGGACTACCTGTTCAGGGTTTTCTGAAACTTGGGTGTTTCAGAAAGTTTGAAATAACAGAGCTAATGTGTGCTAAAGCAACAGCGAAAAAAGCAAATAATTATGGGAGGAAACGTCTTACTGTTGATTTGATAAGGATTTTCATTTACCGACTTGTCACATATTGCGTTCTTCTTTCTGAGTTTGCACGATATGGGGCTGCCTAGGTTGCCTACTTTGTCCACCTTGACTTTCCTAGGAGTGGCCATTGTGCGAGATGGAGAAACCATCAGCAGCAGCTAAATTATACTGTAAACTAAAATAATATCGATAAGATCGTTACCTACAGAAATGTGCCATTACCGGTTTGGATACTAATGCCCCATGTAAGTGTTCGCCTAATAATTTTGCTGGAAGCAAGAACACATTTAATATTGAAGATTTACATCCGATCCCACGTATTAGATGGACTCAAAGTGAAATTACTAATAACCATCATACACCGAGTCTATGAGTAGTCTGTCTACGGTCCGATGACTATACGTCCGACAATGCGTTGTCCATACCTTGAAAGTGAGTGGTAGTTTGAGATATTGCGCGGTGCTGTGTGCTTGATGTTGATGGCTTTTCCGCCGCGAATTCAAAGCCGCCACAACTTTTCCTGTGTTTGTTTACGTTCTACCATCAGCTGCTATGGGAAACACCGCGAGTGTCGCTAGTTTTTGTTGTGGCAACTCGGCGAACATCAACAAGGTTCATCACGATAATGGCTGGTAAGTAGTATGACATGAGAAGGGTTTAGAGAATGTTGCAGACAACAACTGGAATGAATTTAAAAAGCAATATTAAATGGAAGTTCACAGACCAACATCTGATGAGTACAAGGAAATTTTGATGTGAGTTCTTCTGAAACAGTTGATGTTCACAAAAGCTGCTGAAACTTACTCTAATTCCCAAATAATCTCCTCTTCGCTTTGACAGACGTTTTAGTTCAAAGTGCTGGAACGAATTTCTTCAAATATTCAGATTAGATTAGATTAGCATGCTGCGTGTGTTTACTGGACATGGTACTGTTTCGTGATCTGTACTATTGCGACCAAAAAGCGGATCTATTGTAGTTCCAGAATTATTGCAGTCATAGTATTTCGCCTGGTCCCGCTATCCTAATTGAACTTCATAGCTTCAACACAATGCTTTCTGCCTAATATCTCGGGCTACCAAATATCTGAAATGTTTGGTGCTTGAAATCATCGCAACTGCAGAATATTAGCCTGTGTTCGTGGCAGAACTTGGATGCGGCCTTTCAGCTACCCAGACGAGTGTCATATGCCTGTGTTACTTTTTCTTACTCACCATATTAGAAAAAATAAATAAACGTTAGTGCAGACTAGTCTTCCTTCGGTTATACAATTTGTAAGTCTTTTGTGAATAGTGACTTTTGTTCCGTAATGAACTCTTTTGCTTTTTATAAACTCCATAACATGTGACCTGGTCTCTCTAAAATAGGGCTCTAGGCCTATCAGCCGTCTTTTTGAACGAATGTATGTCCTTCTCGTTACCTTTGTTTTTCTAAACTATAGAATTAAGACCTTACAAAAAGAATTGTCATCTTGGACACAACCCCTAATTTTGAAAATGGAGATATCTCTGGACTCCTGTCTATTCAAGTCATGTTGAAACATGTTACGAAAAAACAGAGTATTACACATTTGTAAAATCAGTTTTCTCATAGCAGCTTCGTGACTGATTGTGAGTGTCCATAGCAAATTGTACACATATCTGTATATATTTTTAGTAAAATCAATAGATGTATTGATGAAATGATACTCTATAAATTGAACAATCTTGCATAGACCAGCATTATAAAGGAAAGGAAAACCCATTTTGACTGATAATGAAATTTCAATTATACTAAGTGACATATAAATCCGAACACCCAGTTTAAATGGTTTTATTTTAATAAAAGTATAAGTACTTAATGACGCATAATAAGTAAATGATAAAAATTTCAAAATGATTGCACTGCTTTAAAGCCCTTTGACCTTTAATAATGTGTGGATACACCCTGATGTGCTACGCATTCTCCAACGTGCCTAGGCATGCCTCTGATCAGGTGGTCAATGTCCTCCTGTGGTATCTCATTCCAGGCAACCACCAACTCCTCTCGAAGTGCTTCTAGAGTCTGAGGAGGACGTTGCAAATTGAGCAATCTCCTACCCATCATATCCCACACCTGCTCAATTGGGGATAAGTCGGGAGATCTTGGTGGCCATGGTAACAATGTGACATCATTATGTTGAAAGAAGTCTATTGTGGCTCTTGCAACATGTGGTCGGGCATTATCTTGTTGGAAAGTTGGATCTGCCAGGGTGTCAATATAGGGTAAAAGATGGTTCTAGAACTTCGTGGATATAACGCTGCGCGTTCATGTTACCTCTGATGAAGATTAAAGGTGACCTGGAACCGAAGCTATAGCACCCCAAACCATAACTCCAACAGTATGATGAACATGTCTTTCAACAAAAAACTGTGGATTCCTCATTTCACCACGTCGCCTTCTAACCCTGGCACGACCATCGTGCATGCCTAAACAAAATCGAGACTCGTCACTAAAGACAATACTGTTCCATTCCTGATCCCAGAGTGACCGTTGTCTGCACCACTCAAGGCGATTACGTCGGTGTTCTCGAGTTAAAGGGAGGACCCAGTGTGGCCGGTATGAAAACAAGCCAAAACTTCTCATTCGTCGGTAAACACTTCGCATGCCAATAGGTCTTCGGTGTTCTGCAAACCATTCATTTGCAATGGACCTGGTAGTGGAGAAACGGTCCCTTAAGGACAATAATCTTAGGCGGCGATCTTCACGGTCTGTTGTTCTACGGCGGCGTACAGTGCCCCTTGCTCTTTGCGTACGGCCTTCTCGAAGCCATACCTGACAACACCTAACCAAAGTGTCTACACTTCTTTGCACTCTAACTGCAATTGCCCGAAAAGAAAGTCCAGCTTCCCGAAGTCCCACTATACGGCCCCTATCAAACTCACTAAGTTGACGAAATCGTACAAGTCTCCGTACTCTAGGCATCGTAACCGATCGTAAAGGATGTCAAGAAACAAAATCCGCCAACGTTGATTCTTTACTGCGGCTGAAATATTCATTTTTAGTATATTTGTTAGTTTGATGTTATATGACATGTACATCACGGAAAACCATTTCCATCGGTCGGTGTGTCTATCTGCTAATCCTTGGCCCACTAATAATGATCGGATTTGAATGAAATGTCTACACAAGGTTAGTAGGTACTATTCCAAGGACGAGAGACCTTTGTACTTTTCGAAAATCGGTCCAGTAGTGGCGAAGAAAAATGCCAGAAACGGACAAAATCGCCCAAACTTCATTTTACTACGTTTGAGAGGATCCCCATCATTTTTGAAAAAAATTTAGGGTAAAAAAATTTGGGGTTGGCGGTGGTAGGGAGTGGGGAATGATAAAGGATGGAGAGTGGTAGGGGCTTTTCGGTTGGTCCCATACCGAGGATGAAAGTATATCTCAATTTTTTTATGTTAGATTCCAGCCTACGCACCTATTAGCAATATTTCACACATCATAGGTTTCCCCATATATTTGTCGTTAAAACTTGAATGATAGAGAAATGTTTTCGATATGCGTCTCCTTCTGCTATCTGGGCTCAGCGCGCAGCGTAACCATCAGCTTGAATTGTTCTGCTCGTTCTGCGGCGGAGATTCGGTAGGCACTGCCGCGTCTGACGATAAGGGACCTTGCCAGATGGACGGTAGCTACTGGTAGGACAGGGAAAGAATGTATATGGACTAATTGCATTGGCTTTTGTGATTAACTTGATCAGTTTTACTATTGGACATATTCGTAACTGATTTTCTCGGAGGGTTTAACTTGTGTTGAGCTTAATCCTTTATGAACTGATGGCGGCGTTGCGAACGAAGTACAGATTCAACCTGCTTGACGCCATTTTCTACTATTTCCAATGAAAAAGAACAACTGAGAATTTCCTTAGCAAATTGTTTCTATCATATTTTTTGGAGTACAAGGAGATTCACACAGGATCAATATTTTTGTGTTAGTCTCTTTAATCATTTTATGGATTTTTATGATGTCACTTTTGACTTTTATCAAGTTTTATATCGTTATCAGTCTAATGTTAAGCTCTTCGGTATTCTATAATAATTTGGTACATTCTTCAGAAGCAACATAGGTACAGAGTGATTTCGACCGGTTATGAGTTTTGACTGTAACATACTATACACTAAATTAAAATAAATTGGAGATACTAACCACAAGATGAGTTTTAGATCTTACAATATTTATTCATTTATAAGCGGACAGACTAAAATATAACCTGTGTAAAAGACAATAAACCCTATTTCACGAGTATCCATCACGGAACAATGATATCTGGATGTCTGGTAATTATTCAAAACTCCCCATATCGGCAAAGGACACACAATTCTGACGGATCCGTCAATGCCAGGTGGACAGAGACATATTTTGTTTTGGATTTTTGTACGCTACAGATTCATTTTGTACTTGCTAAAAGCTCTTTTATTTAGAAAAGTTCATTTGCATACAAAAAACAAAACGCTACAAATAAATATTTGACAGATTTACACCCGATTCATTATAGCCAACGTTGCAGACTAACACAAAAATGTCATCAGCTGTTTACCTCAGTAGGAGTCAAAGCGTGATGGATACTCGTGAAATAAGGTAAAGATATTATACAAAGTTCACGTTGATGCACTCACCTAAGCTGGTGGTAGAATCATTGCACAATAGTAGGTAGCACTTATTCATATAAAATTTCTGCAGTACAGGTACTATTGAATACTATAAAAGCATAATTTTCAGTAGTTATTCATTTGATTTTGAATTCTATTGATGTTATTTAGTTCAGGTTCAGACTTGATAATTTCATAGCGGTACAACTTGTTGCCAAATCTATTTACTCTGTCCCAGATAATTTTCTTCAAAAATAAAATAGATTAAGGTTCTGGAAGTATAAAAATAGGATATCGATTCTATTGTGTACCTAGTGTAATTACAGAAATACAGTAGTCATAGTCAATGTCGGTTATGTAGGGTAAAAGCGTAATCGATATAAAGCAAGGTCGTTTTTATACCGTAGAGACATCCTGTCTATCGAGAACAATCTAATTCACTTGTGAAGAAGGCCGAGGCATACCGGGTGTTTACATTTTTGCAGAACGCTAAAATTATAAAAATACCGGACATTGTAAAATCTTTCCTATTTCTTGGCCAACTAAAGAATAGTTATGGGTAATCACATCACGATGAATTCGCCATAACTGTATGTTATGTCACTCTTTCGTTATATTGTCTATAAACCAATTTCTTTTTTGTGCGCGGATGTTGATAGTAAAGTAATTACAATAAAGTAAATAGAATATGTATCAGATTGTGTTTTAAAGTGACCAAGTAGATGTATATATCAATTTTTCCATAGGCTTTGACAGGTTCAATCATGCAGTTATTCTGAACAAACTTAAAAGTTAAGGCTTAGATCGTTCAGCTTTGATATTTTTTTTTAGTAATATGTATTTAATGGAAGGCATCGGGGTGCCGCAAGTGTCAAATCGCATTACTTTTCACATTATTTATAAACGACGTATGTGATAGTTGTAACAAACTTCTTAATGCTGACAATTTAAAAAGTTTTCTATCTATTACAAGAATGGAGGAATGTCATGCCTTGCAGATGGAATTGACTAATATTCAGACTGGGTGCCAACTCATCAATCTTGGTCTGAATGCAAAATAGTGTAATGTAATTTGTTTTACCAGGAGGAAAAGTTCGTTTGTCTTTGAATACACTATAGGCAGGGGTGCTGGCGGTCCAAAGCATGAATTTAAGTGAGAAAAGTGAGTTTTTCGAAAGAAACGCAGTGATAAAAAAGTGAGTTAATTTTCTGAGAAAATGAATATCATAATGCAAAATTTAATATGTATATCGGCCTCAAACGCTCAAATCCGTCATTCCCTGAAATGCCTAGTCGGTCCCCGTATTGCCGGTAAATACCGTACCAGTGATTATTACAACGTTTGACTAAGCATTTCAGTCATTCTCTGTAATGACTGAACAATTTCAGTCAAACACCGTAACAACCACATTAACTTCGATACTGCATTCGCCTATTTTAGTCAAAAGCTGTAATCAATACCGTGCTGCCCCAATGAAGTACATAATAAGACAAGGTACTACTTTATCAATAATATTAAAAGAAAAATAATCAATCATGAACTGATCGAAAAGGAAAGACGAATACGTATATTAAAACGTTGTCTTTATTATTACATTATTGTTTTTTTAATCAAGTGCTTATATACGAAATCCGGTAACAATGGATGCTGCTGTTGAGCAAGCATATGTTCGTTATAATTTAGGTTAGGTTTACAAAATTATAAAAATTAACTTACCTCCTTTAACTCATTTATATTCCATGTTTTTTTCTTATTCACACTGTCATAGTTTTTTGTAAAACAATTCTGAATGCTGCGACATCTTTACAAACACAGAAAAGACGATGTGTATTCAAGCAAATGATAACAAAACTGGTACAACGAATGACTGAATCAGGCAAATGGAGGTAATGAAGTTAATCTGGTTGTTACAGTGTTTGACTGAAATTATTCAGTCTTTACAGCGAATAACTGAAATGCTTGGTCAACTTTGTAATAATCAAACTGTTACGGTGTTTGCCGGTAATACGGGGACTGACTAGGCATTTCATGAAATGACGAATTTTAGCGTTTGACGCCGACATGTACATATATAAATAAGAATGTGTGAACAAAAAAAGAAAAACTCATATAAGGTCTTTATTACTGGTAAGCAAAAATAATTATACATATGTATGCATATTTCAAGATCAAATGCATACAGTTCATAAAAGAAATATAAAAAAATAAAAAATTCTTGTAAATGCGGGAGACGTACTTATATCTATTAAGTATTCTTTCCCAATTGACCGATTCTACATTTTAGTGAACTTATGTTAAAAAGTTTAGATTTTATATAATTATTATAGATGAGTATTTTTACACAAGAGTTGACTAACGTAATCATCAGACCGTAAGACTTGTTACTAGAAATCGTATTAAACGTCCGCCATATTAGATTAGAATGACGTTACTTTGTTTACTGAGTTTCTTTCATCAATCCCTTTCATTTGATATCCATAATATGGGGGTGACTATGGAAATTTCATATATCGACATTTTGCGGCGGCCGCCCTATTGGATCTAGAATTACGTAACGTTGCTTACTGTATTTCTTCTACCAAGCCCTTTCAGTCGATAACCATATCATAGAAATTATAAGTGCCATCTTGCGGCGATCGACATATTGGATTTGAAATGACATTTTGCTTATTGTGTATCTCTCAAGCCCTTTCGTCTGATGCCCATATTATAGGGGTGACTATTAAATCGCCAAATTGCATCCTCCCTCAAATTGGATTTAGAATGACGTCAGTTTGCTTACTTTATTTCTCTCATCAAGCTCTTCCATTTGATACCCATATCATATACTATGGAAATGACAAATCACTATTATGTAGCATACGCCATATTAGATTCGCAATGGTGGCAGTTAAATGATTATGTATTGTCACACGATCCAGACAGGCATACAAAATTTCAGCTCGATTTGACATCACTTGTTTACAGCACAATTCTTACGATTTATACGTATATACGAGTATTGTGACTTGTGACAAATCTAAGTCTGGGTACCTAATATATTAGCTATACAGATTGCACTTAAAAGGTGCTTTATGTTCTGTTTATTGCTCAAGAGTAATTTGAAAAGTGTGCAAAGCTTGACATTCTGCGGCTTCACGTCATCTCCAAAACATCCCCCAAAATTAATTTGCTGCCTTTATCGTTCTCCCTCGGACCATAACTGGGATGACCTTCTTGAATACCTCGCCGTCAAGAACGACTTCCTGAACATCGATCACCCCGCTTCAGAGGTAGTTCTCCTCTGTGATTTCAATGACCATAATATGCTTTGGTTGGGCTCAAACAAGACCGATGCAGCAGTTGAAGCGTTCGCTGTTACTCAATGGCTGACCCAGCTGGTGACGGGCCCTAATTTTATTCCCCGCGTCTCGTCACATGCCAGTATCCTGCTGGATCTCTTTCTGACCACGCATCCTGTCCCTGACAGCACTGCTGTCCTGTCCCCCCTGGGTAGCTCAGACCACGGTGTTGTGGAGGTTAGGTATCGGTCAGAACCCGCTGTGGCAGCAGAAACTCGCACAGGCCGCAAAATTTGGCATTACAGACATGCCAACTGGGAGGGGCTCAGAGACTTCTTTTCTACCTTTCCTTGGAGAGATGCCTGTTTAACTGACGTAGATGCGTCGGCTGTCTGTTCTTCGATAACCAAAATTATCCACGTCGGAATGGAGGAATACATCCCTCATACAGTGAAAGTGTCTAATTCTGGACGCTAGCCAAGCAGATTGGAAAGAAACTCTCACACAGCAGCCTTCCATCACTCACGTGTCAGGATGGAACGATTGTGTCGGACTCAAAGGCCAAGACGGAAGTCCTTGCCAAGATCTTTGCTGCCAACTCCACCATGGACGTCCCCTCCAACGCCCAAGTGTCGCCAATTCAAAGGTTTCCTTAGACTATGCGGGAAGTAACATTCAGGTATAAGGCTGTAAGATGAATGCTCTTGTGGCTCGACATCAATAAATCTTCTGGACCGGACTTGATTCCTGCCATTGTACTGAAGAGGTCTGCAGCGGAGCTTGCTCCAGTTCTTTCGCGTCTCTTCCAGATATCTGATGAATCCGGCACCTTCCCATCACGAAAGCGTTCGATCAGCTGTGACACGCTGCCCTTTTAAGCAAACTTCCATCCTATGGCCTCCCAGAAAAGTTTTGCAGATGGGTGGCTAACTGTATCTCTGGCCGCAAGATATCCGTCGTAATTGACGAGTTCTCCTCTTCATCCCACAACGTCAATGGAGGTGATCCCCATGGATCGGTCTTGGCTCTGAGGCTCTGACACTGTTCCTCTTACATATCAACGACCTCCTTTTCTACACGATCAAGTCAAACCACAGTTTCGCTGATGACAGCACTCTACATGCAGGAATTCTGAGTGACAGCCGATCTCTGCCACTGAGCTTGAAAATAGAAGACTAGCGACGACTTCCTCCCTTACGAGAGACCTGGAGGTTATCACTGCTTGGGGACGCAACAATCTTGTACAGTTTAATGCTTCCAAAACTCTGAATTGTACCTTGACGAACAAAAAGCGTCCTAAAGCTTATCCGGTTTCGATGGATGGCCGAGCTCTGCCAAAGAGCCATTCACTTCGACAGGTCGGAGTCCAGATCACCAAGGACCTGATCTGGCACGAACTCATCTCGTCAAGAGCGGCAGCTGCTGGGAAAAAGTTAGGCTATTTCTTTAGGGCTCAGAAATACTTTACTCCACATGACCTTCTCACTCTATACAAGGCCCAGATAAGGCCTAGCCTCGAGTATTGCTCACACATTTGGGGTGCTGACGCCCCGACTACATTATTTATGCCCGATGCTGACCAGAGGAAGGCTGTCCGACTGATCGATGACTCTTCTCTAACAGATAGTCTCGGGACCCTTTCGCACAGGCGGGCCGTCGGCGATCTAGCTCTCTTGAACCGCTACACCAACGCGCTTTGCTCCTCAGAGCTCTCTTCCATGATGCCGCCACTAGATGTGCCTGCCAGACAGACCCGCCTGACTTTGACCTCCCATCCTAACCGTGTCGAGTTCGATTTCGCAATCAAAAACATTGTATGGACTGGGATATGTCTCGGAGTCCCTCAGAATGTTTTATTTTTTTTTGTTACCAGCAATGAAGTTTTTTATGTTTGA